GGAATTTTGAAAGAACGCTTTGAGTGTTGACCAGAACAAAAAGGATTAGAATAAACAAGTGAGGATCCAGGAATCGGATACTTGTGGGGGATTCCTCCACCCATCTCTGACAATTCCCCTTCAGGATTGGGGGAAGTGGAGACTCCTGTGGGGGGGAATCCCATCTCTCCCCAATAGCCGTTTCAGGCTCCCCCACCCACCTTTAGCTGGCCTGCAAATGTGCCTGAGAGCTCCTGGAGTGCTCTGCCATGGTGTCCAGGCCTGGTACAGCTCCTAGAGTGCTCCTTTGCAGTGGGCAGGCCCAGAGTGGCTCTCAGAGTACTCTGCCATGGTGCCTAGGCTTGGAGCCTCTCCTGGCATCTGCTGCTGTTGCAGCTGGGCAAGGAGTTGTTTCTGGCATTCACCACCACCAGGCAAGGAGCTAGTCCCCTCATCCATCGCAGCTGGCCTGAAGTGGTTCTTTGAGCTGCTACCAGCTGAACCAGGGAGTGCTTTCTCTGTGCTTATGCAAAAACCACTTGTTTACTTTTCAGGGAATCTAACCCCCCTGTGTATTCTTTTAAAATTTCAGATTTTTCTGCAAACCTGGGGAGTGCCCCAAGTTTGGTATGTCAAGGTATGGGAGATATTCCAAATAGATAAAATAGCTGACTCAACATCCTATTCTGACCCTCATTCTGCCCTTTCAAATTTAATGGAATTTTTTTTTTAGAATTTACTACAGGGGACATGGCCTCAAAAAATACGTAATCAATCATCAATATTATGATATGGCTCTTTTATGAATCTCTATTACAATTACAAATACATATACAGGTACCAGTACAATGTTTGTTAATATATACATTACTAGGTAAGTGTTGATTATATAGATGTTCAGATATGTGACCCTCTTTCCTCTTAAATGTATTGAATAGTGTTCAGAGTATTTACCTTTATATTGCTAGTTTTCATCTGTAAGCTGTTTATTTCCTCCATTTATCTTTCTAAAAAAATTATGTTGTTCATGTTGTTTATTATTGATACTGTTGATAATGATTGTTAACTTACAGTTCAAACCATATAATTGTTCAGATAATGAAAATCTAATAAAATGTTTTTTTAAAAAGAAGAAAGATCTGTGTAGCCTCCATGTGGCCCCAATCCACTGATTTAGCTATCTATTTATTGGTGCCATTGGTGGCTAATAGTATATAGGTTTCTAACTTTTTGCAAGAACTCCATTGGTCCTATAATAGATTTCAGATGAACTTCAAAATGTGTGTGTGTTGTGATACTGAAGCCTAAAAAGCTATGGTGTCATTTTAAAATATATTTTTTTGGTTGCTTATATATCCAGCAACTCAATGAAGCTTGTCTAAAGTTTTTACTTTTTTAATCTGAAGATAACAGAAAAGTTTAAAGATTGTTTCCTTGTTGCATATTCCAACCAATATATTCACCAAATGTATTAGGAAGTTTATTTAACAAAATGAATGATGTTACTCTTTCTGTTAAAAGGTGCTGTTCTCCTAGTGTTCTTCGTGATTTTCTTTGAGGAAAAGATGAAGTCATGTGTTCTTCCTCTGCTATTTTTTTTCTCCACACCAGAAAATCTGCAGTGTTAAGAGGACTTGCCATGGTAAGTTACATTCATATATCGATATCTTGTTTTTAAAAACAGAATCCTGATTTTTAGTCTTAAATTGCTTGTTTTGGAGACTTAAAGTTATCTGTAAAATTCCTAGCCTGACAAAATTTTAAACCTGTGATTGTTCAGATAGATCCATGTGTTTTAAATGTAAATTGTCCTTTACCTCAGTGGATTAAAGATTTAATCTCTGCCGTTATCTGTTCTCAGTCAGCTGTACATTAAAGTGCTGGCAAAAATGGAGGGGCCTTGTTTTTAAGGCATATAAATCCTAGAACTCATGGGGTGTGCTTTTGGATGCTTAACATTCTGAAATATTTGTGAAATTCTTTTCCAATCAGTGATGATACTTTAGAGTTTTGAAGGATAATGCACCAAATGCCAGTGGATGTTACATGAAAGTATACTGATATGTCTGAGATATGAATTAGGGTTGCCAAGTCCTTACCTTATGAAGAGCGGGGGAGTCCAGCGCTGGTCTGGGAGTCCATGTGTGCACGCAAAGCGCACGTGCACCGCAATTACATCACCCAGAAATGATGCAATCACGTCAGGCACGTTGGGGGCGGGGCCACAATCATCCGAGGGAAAACCATAAAGTTTTCCCTTGGATTATTGTGGCTCCGCCCCCAGTGTGCCCAACACGATTACATCACCTCCGGGTGACGTGCTGACGCCGGGCATGTCGCATGCTTTGGGGGTGGGGTTCCCCTTGGGGCCCGATCTGCCGCCAGCAGGTAATGGGCCTCTTGGGCGGGGGTTTCCCTGCCCCCCGGGGGGACTTGGCAAGCCTAATGTGAATAGTAATAGCTGCCCTGCTTGCAGGCCTGCAGTGGCACTTATTGGCCATTAGGGATGGGCACGAACTGACTGACAAACTAAAGTTCATCATGAACTTCAAGAGCCAGGATGAACTATATAATTTTGGTTCACAAACTTCAAGAACTGTGACAAACTATCTAAATGTTGGCGCAATTCATGGTGGCTCATGACGGTTCATAAAGAGCAGAAAGCAGGGGTTTACTCTTCACCAGGAATGGCTGGGAGCTCCCAGCTGCTCACCTGTTTGGTTGAAATGGCTCTGAGCCATTAAAACCCTGCTTTCAGCTCCCCACGGCTTTTAAAATCCAGGAATTGAAATAAAAAGTAAGGAATTACCTTGCCAGTTTAGGAGGGATGATGGTGGCTTCCCAGCCAAACTATTTATATTCCCTCTTTGCTGTCTCATCTACAAGTGAAGAAGAAGTTTCTTTCAGTAGATTACTTACATTAAGTAAAAGATAAATTTTTAGACTATGCTGCATTAGTATATTAAAACAAATGTATACATTAAAAAAATTTATATTAGCTGCCCTCTCCCATTTATAAGCCCACCTTTTCAGCTGGAAACAATGTGCTTATTAGCACAAATTTGGCCCTGAGCCTTACTCTTTTAAGGGAAAGTACTACAAATACTGCCTCTGATTATTATTAGTGGTTCAGTTAGTGGAACCATTGGGTGAAAACTGAAATTCTGGATCACTGGTTAATTTCTTGGGAATATACACAAGAACCAAGGAATAAAAATGACAGGTAATATGAGTAATGTTCAGTGCAAACGTTTGGCAGTAAAGTGAACCTTAGTTATGTTGAAACATCAAATGGCTCTTGGTCACTACAAAGTTTCTTTCTACCTCTTGCTAAATCTTAAATTTATATTTAACAAACAGCGAACCAGTGCCAAGTGGTCCTTTGGGGGAGGGATGTTGCTTGTTTCATGTAGTCGTGTGATAATATTAGTATTTTATTTAACTGTTTACCAGCTCTGTTTTTGATACTATACAGCAGGGAAATATAAAACAGATTTTAATGTTATTCTTGAGATAGCTTTGTGTTTGTTATGTTTATTTTAGCTTGTGTCTAAATCATTTACTTTCCTGTTAGTAGACTGTGAAAGGTCAGTAGTTCAGCAGTTCGAGACCCGGGTGCTGCATGACGGAGTCAGCTCCCGTCTCTAGTTCCAGCTCCTGCCAACCTAGCAGTTCGAAAGCAAGAAATTGCAAGTAGATAAATAGGTACCACTTCGGTGGGAAGGTAACAGCGTTCCGTGTGCCTTGGTGTTTAGTCATGCTGGCCACATGACCACGGAAACGTCTTCGGACAGCGCTGGCTCTTTGGCTTTGAAACGGAGATGAGCACCGCAACCCTAGAGTCGGATTTGACTGGCTTTCGAGCAAGGGAACCTTTACCTTTACCTATTATGCAAAAGGGGGGGGACACCCTGTAAGCTTCTTTGTTAGTACAACTCCCTTAGAAACTTCAAATACCTATATTTGATCATAATGTTTTCTATAGCTTGGCTCATGTATCATGTTGGTAAAGGATGTTTGGGCAGACAGTTTGTTCCTGTTTTCTTATATTAATAGCATTTACATAGCACCTTTGATCTTTATTGAATGTTCTGGAAACATTCATGTCTTAAATCTTGCACACAAGATTCCATGCTGGTATAAAAATATTTTTGAAGAATGCACGTACTGAGATTATACGGCATGCCAACAAAATGTAGTGATGAAAATAAAGGGTTCTCTCTCCCTAATTATGATCCTGTCTAACCGTGTTACGTATTCCTCCCACTTTTCCAAACTCCACTGGAGCATTGTTTGGAGCAATATATGTTTATAATCAGGATCACTGATGGTAGCCTGGAGTAATCTGTATAGGGCATGTATTTGTGTGGAGTTCTTAATATTTATATTTTGAATTATGTATGTTTTAAACTATTGTCATCCATTCTGGGCCCTTAGGGTATATTTCCACTAAAAATCCAAATGAATTTAAAAAGAGATTCGTTAATGACTTTTTAAAATAAAGAAGGTGCTTGTTCAGTAGCTATATATTGTTTCATTCCAAAAGGGGGAAAGAGCTCTAAGCTAAACATCTGTTCTAAACGTGGAAACTATGATACAAGGCAGAGTTCTGCTACCTATAACTGTCTCCTATTTCATTTCAGTAGACAGAACCAAATAGCATATGACACATGGAAGAGTCCCTTCCATCCAAATGAATGGGAATACTACATGTATGAGCTACATGTGACCATCAGAGTACATGTGAACTTTGAAAACGCAGTTATCTCAACTTTTCATTGAAATAGTTTTCTTTACAAAGTCTATGTTACAAGGATGCTAGAAATCATATTGATGTTAGTTTATGCCCAGAATCTGAGTCACTGTATATTTGTGTCTTCAAACATGTGTATTAAAGTAATATTTCTGTTTTATTTACAGGTGTCAGAATTCATAATTTTGAGTCAGACTTGGTAGTTGCTACCTGTCCTTTTGGCAAAAAGAAAAATTATGTCAAATAGAAATACTTTTGCCTTCCAGATCATTGGGAAAGGTATGAGTTGCATTATTTACATAAACAACTATGATCTTTGCTTATAATTTACTGGTTATTTTAAATATTCTAGGTGCAAGTTTATGCTGTAATCCAAGTTACTTCAGTAATTTAGTATATAGCTGTGCTACCTGAATGAATTCTACTTAAGAAAAGATCCACTGTTGGCTCTGTCAATCCAATAATGCTGAGTCTACAATTAACTGCTTATTTTAAGAAACCAGACAAGAAGAAAAAGACAATGTTCATTATAGCTTTAAGTAGCAAATACTTCCGTATACAGATAAAGCATGCACTCCACAATGAAAGTCAATCTGTTTAGCTAACCTCTAGGTGGAGTAAGTTCTTCTGACACCTATAAAAACTGTTTTGACTGTGCTAAGTAAAAAGTGCCAACAAAACCACATCTAAATCCTAGTACAGCTGGAGAAACTAATATTGAAATCAGCCTGAACAATATCTTAAGTTAAAAATAAACCTAGATATGTCAACATAGAAAATTGTACTTCTTTCAGATAAAGACTGATCCTCTCAGTGCTACTGAATATGATGTTGAACAGGTATTCAATAAGATAAATTAGTACTTTGTTGGTAATAATTTAGAACTTATTAACTGGGAACTGATGGGAAGAGTAATATGAAATAGTTGTCAGTATCATTTATCATTTGTAAAAGTATCTACAATATTTAATTTTAATTTTATTTATGTTTATAGTCCACCCTTCTCCGTTAGTGGGGGAAGTCATCCAGATTGGTTAGGTCATGCCTCCACTCGCTCCAGGCAGGGCTATGCAGATTTGTGCGAGGACCCCTGTTGGAAAGATTGAAGCTGAACCTTCAGTTTGGATAGCTCTGCTGCTCTGGCAGGATGCTTGAGCTCTGCTCCACATCAAAACTAGTGGATACAATTGGATTTAACTTACCCGTTATGGGAGCAATGGAGGAGGACTGGTCCTCAGTGCCCTCAGGAATTAAAAAAGTGACAGTCTTGTCTGCCAAGAAGACAAAGATGGTTGACCATGTCGAATGCTGCCGACAGGTCCAACAACAACAGCACTGCTGATTAACCCTGATCCAGATGCCTTTCTTCCCTTTCACCCCAGATGCCTTTTTTCACCCCTAGTTTTTTCTCAGTAGATAATAGGTCACAGCAGAGGTCATTTCGGGGGGGAACGCGGGGGAACGCAGTTCCCCCGGGTGAGGTGCAGGGGGCGGGGCACATGACGAAGCCCCGCCCCCTGCTTCCGGTCGCCCCGCTTCCAGCCCTCATTCAGCCAGGAGGGGGCAGGAGAAGAGGGAGGGTTCCTTTCTCCCCCCCCGCCTCTCCCCACCCCTGCCTGCCTGGGGCCAGGGAGGGCCTTGGCGGGGCTTCCTCGCACTCCCGCTGGCCTTGCAGGTCCACCGTCGGGCCCCTGATGTCAGGGGGTGTGGCATATGCTAATGAGTTATGCTAATGAGTTCCCCTAGCTCTTTTTCTACGAAATGACCCCTGGGTCACAGGCTTGTGTAAAGGTTTTATTTATTCATTGTATTACTGCTTTGCAGTGGTGTCTCATTTTGCTATTCTCATCATTTTGTTTTGTTCCCCATTGGTGTGTTGTTAGGGGACTAAATATTTTTATTATTTAAGAACTGTTTCTTTGCTCCTTCTTTGGAGTGCTGCCCCAATTTGAGAGTCTGGGATACATACACTAGATAGCTTGGCCCTGATAAATTTCCCTAGTGGCAAGTGTTTGGCACCAACAGGCAAGGAGGACACTCTGAGCATTACAGTCCCTACAGGTATACCTGTTTGGGTGACAACATCACTCATCTATATTTTTATTTATTTTATTTTTATTTTATTTATTTATTAAATTTATATCCCGCCCTCCCCAAACGGGCTCAGAGCGGCTAATAGAAGAGGCATATGCCATAATTCAACAACTGAAAACAGAATAAAACTATCAATCAGAAACAAAGTGCTGGTGCTCTAGAGAATAAGCTCTTATCAGTCCAAGATGGGGTTCCAGGCTAGGAAAGGTTTGTACTTCTGGTTAGCTTGTGTTAGCCAAATTGCCTTAATTTATTAATAAATGTGGGGAATTATGAGTGTTAAATGGCAATACGCATTAAATATAGAATCAGAACCTGTGTATACGAGAGTTTGATTTCCCAGTCCCAGAAATAGATGCAGAGGCTAGATTACTACAGCAGTGATTTCTTTACTGAAGGATTCTTAAGCATACAAATATAAAATCAAGCATTCACACATACAATACAGAACTAAGAAAGCAGAAGTGATTTATACTTAATATTGGGGTCAGTTATGGGGTGATACTACCTGTCCGGACATGCAGAGGTCCATGAAGAAGGGATTATGGCCTAAACCGAGAGGTTTAGGGGTGGGCTGCTAGTTGGCATCAGGGCAAAGTCACACAGTCTGAGGCCATGTGCACTGACGGATATAGACATTGGAAAACAATGCAGACCAATGGGCGGCCTTGGGGGCTAGTCTCAGTTGAGAACTGGGCCAATGATGAGTCCCAGGGGTACATGGCGTCAGGATGGGCAAGGCCTAGATGTGACCAGTGAGCTTCCAGAGGGGTAGAATCAGGCTTTAACAATAGAAGCCAGCTGTTGGATAACTGTACTGGGGCTAGCTGAATGGATTTTATGTCCATTGATGGTTCTGCCAAGGCAAGTTGAATAGATTCCCAGATAGAGACAAAAGATGGGAGATGGGTCCCTGATTATCATCAGGAAGGATCATTAATAATTTGAATGTTTGATTGGTTTATCTCAGTATCCTGAGGGATGGAGCAAGGAAAGACAAAGAATTCACACATAGACATGGGACCACAAAAAAGGGCTGGTTTAGGTACTGGAGACAGGAGGGCTGTTTGCCAGATGGCCTCTGCATAGCCTTTAGAAATGTAGATGCCTTAACTGGTGGAACTGCCATTGTTTCATATGCATATCTTCCTAGATGGGGGAGAAGACTGGGGGTTTGCTCTGAGGCTTACCTGGTTGTCACCTGAAAATGGAGACCCTGTGTTTTCAGGTCTTCCTTGGCCTGAGCTTTGTTGGTCTCTGGTTTAGGCTAGGTAGTGGGGTGCCCCTGCGATTGGGGCTACCCAAGAGTAAAGGCAACGTCTCTGGCAACATTTGTACCAGATATTTTTAATCTTTTTTCCTGCTAGAACTAAAAAGAAGTGTATTCCACTGGGGACCTTGTTACAACCACTGAACAAACTATCCACAGTATTTTAAAACGATCTTTCAAATTCTGCACTCAGTAGATCTGAAAGTGTAATATAAGCAGAGTCACGTCCTTCTAAGTCCGTTGATTTTGCTGTTTGATTTCAGTGATGGCGCTGTCAAGTCCTGCAATCTGTTTTTAAAATATAGCCTGAGTCCTGATAATAAAGATTGTTTTTGAGCATGTGCTTTCCTATCTACCCCATTTGCAATTAGGGAGAAAGATTTCCAGCTCCTAAAATAGAAAAACAGTACATCTGGCAAAAAAGTTAATTCTGCAATTAAGCAAAAAGGACCCATGACAAGTTTTTCCTCAGGCAGTGTGATTCTGGCTGAGGACTGCTGTAATTCTGAATATCCAGACAGGGAACTTAACTTTTTGTACTATAAAGGAAGGACCTTGGTTTGATAGATGAAGCCAGGGATAATAACTCTAGCAATTGAATCAAGTTGTTGTGTGCATGTGGGATGGAGTAACGAAGGATTTCTGCCAATGGATAATATTTTCCATGTGCTCCCTGCTGTGCATTAATAGTGTGTTTCACATCAATGTTGATAAAACTAAAATATGTTGCAGTAATTAGCTCAGGGCAAGGCAAATACTATGTTTTTTGTTAAATGAGTTCATATTTGACTTCTCTCTAATGTCACAGTCCACCACTGAAAAGAAATTGTTCTTCCAAAAGTAAGGACACAGTCAGTGAACCAAACAGGTGAACATATCTTGCCTTGAAATTGTATCATACCAGCATTTATATTCTATGGCCAAAATGATTCCGAGAATTAGAAGCCATTATAAATATCCTGATTGTTTTTAGCAAACCCTGAAATAAGAGTCCACAGCTCCTAGTCCAACCTTTGCAGTGATGGCTTTTGTCTTTACAAAATCTTCTACTAGAACATCTGGGCATATAAATATCTTGAAAGCTTTTAGCCACTCAAAAATTTGGAGAAGTCCAAGATTTTTCAAATGGGTTGTATTACAGAAAAACTGAGCAGTGTGTTAAAGTCTCATGGGTAACTCTAGTCAAGTATGAAATCTCTCCAGAGATCTATCTTGGACTGGGGTAGTAGATTTTAAAGCAGATTTCCATCTTTAGTCTTAAACTTGCATCCAGACCCTAAGCAAATTTACTTGCAAGAAAGTCACCAGAAGTGAGTATGTTTAGAATCTCAGCCTTATCCCCATGTATCCCTAACTGATCATCTGAATTTCCAGTTCCTCATTTCAATTGCAACAACTGTTCCCATCCCTAGTCAAGGCAGAACAGAGCTTTCCATCTGGATAGTGCTTCTTGACAGGCAGGTAGGAAATTTAGATGCTTTTCATCAGGGGTCATTTCGTAGAAAAAGAGCTAGGGGGACTCATTAGCATAACTCATTAGCATATGCCACACCCCCTGACATCACCGGCAGTGTGTCCTCCCCACAGCCGGCGGCGACCTCCAGCGGGCACCAGCAGGGAGCTCCAGGCCCCGCCCTCCCGCACCTCACCCGGGGGGATGGCGTCCCCCCGCGTCCCCCCCCAAATGACCCCTGCTTTTCATAACCGTGTTTTATCTGTAAGTGCATTCATAGTTTGGAACATACATTTTTCAAGAAAGCAGAGCCTGCTATATATTCTACTGAGTCCAGAGAGTTCAGAATAGGTATGATTTTGAACAACACTGCTATGACTTGAATGTAGTAGTTATCTCTTGTGAGAAATTCCAGGAGTCTGTTATCTCTTACTAAGGCAGACTTGGGAGAGATTGTTAGGGTGAGCAGACACTGAGATCTAATCTACAGAACTGTCTGCACTATGATTAGAAGGTTAAGATAAGGCAAGTTCAACCTGTGATCCACTAGACCAAATGCAGCTAGGGTTTGTATTTCCCGGTCCCTCGAATTCTTGACAGCCTTTTTGTTGTGGACTTTGTTAGGCAGCTCAAGCAGGAAGGTGTTAGTGAGTTATCGTGCACACTGCATTTAATTTGATGTGTAAACCCTGTTCTGATTTTGCTTCCAGAGCAAACTCCTACTTGATTATTTTGAATCTTTTCCTATAACAAGACTATTTGAAAACTTAACTAATTTGAAACTTTCAGAAATTAATTTTCCTTACAACAATGTAACCACTGTTGCTTGAAAAGCGTTCTGTTATGCTTTTCATGGTATATGAGATACTGAACATGAATTACTTCCTTAGTTCACCTATCAAACACTTTATTTCAGATTCAAATAAGATGATGGAAGACTACAAGCAAAGCCTGGTGGAATTACAAAATACTAATTTAGGAAAGGATTCAGTAGTGAAATCTCTTGAAAATGATCTTCAGGATCTAATGGACAGGCTCAACCAGAAAAAATACTCATCGAGTCTGAAATTCAAAACAAATTGTGACAGTCCTGGTTCTTATTTAACTCTTTCACAGACTCTTCCACCTAAATCCAGCCCTGCATCCAGTGTAAAAAGTATGCCGGCTGTCTCCAAAATTCAAGGAAGCAAACCACTGGCTTATGATGGCTCTTATCTATTAGACAAGACTATCTCTGCAAAGCACATGGGCTCTGTATCAGGCACGTCTCCATCCTTAAGCGGGTACAGTCTAGGAAAGAGAGACTTTGATATTTATTCCAACAGAGAAAATGAAAAACAGTTTGGACATCTGGATAAATTTCCCTATTCAAAGTACAGCCAGAAAAATAAATCTCATGATAACGTCTACTTCCCAGGAACACTGGATGGGCGGAAAAACTCTGGATCTCTTATTGCAATATGGAATGGAAACTCAGGGAGTGAGATAATCCTTTCACCAGTTGGCAATTCTGGAGCTGCCAGTATGCCCTCTAGTCCAAAGCAAGGCAGGAGAATGAACATTCATGATATCCCATCATTTCGGCCCAGGCAAGCTAAGCAGAAGGAGACAACAGTGGAAACTCTGGGATCTAGAACCAGGAAGTATTCTGGTGGCTCACTGAGTCATATGGGAATTTACAGCCGCTCATTACCCAGGCTGTACAAATCATCAGAAAGCCAGCTCGTTCCACTGAGCTTGCCACCAAGAAACTCTCTTGGGAATTCCAAAAGAAAAAAGATTGTGGAGAAAGATCTTCTACCTCAAAATGTACTGGATGCTGACAATTACCTTGATTTTTCTTCTCACGCCTCAGGAGCTTTGCCATTTACAAATTTTGCGACTGACACAAACTTCTATGTGAATTCAACTCTTAGTGTTCCTGCAAGCCCTCGCATAGCTCGGAAAATGCTTCTGGCCCCTTCTTCCTCATATGTGTCTGATGACTTTGACAGAGCTGGACTCTCAGGGATGACCCCCAGTAGTTCTTTTTCTCCTGTGGATTCAGAGAGAGCATTCCCTCTCAGAAGGAAAGTTTCAAACAGTTCAGTGGAGTTTGATGAAACAGAGCTGGAAAGCTTCAGGCAAACTCTGTCCATAAGGGAGAGGAAGAATAGCATTAGCTCTCTTTCAGGAAGGGATGATCTAATGGACTACCACAGAAGACAGAGGGAAGAAAGGCTTAAAGAGCAGGAGATGGAGCGACTGGTAATTCTATTTTCTTGATACTTTTTAGTGCTGTTTGCTAATTTGAAAGCTGACTTTGTTAAACTAAAAACTGTAAACTGTATATGCAGTGGAGAAATATTCTGCTGCCATATTTTCAAATATGTACAGAACTGAAAGGACATTCATTAAGCCAGTTTAAAGTTAATTGATTGCACGAGGCACTGCTTTAAGAAATAGCTAGTGTCCTAAAACCATCTGTAGGAGGTGGGAGATTGATAGAAATTACAACCATTATCCTGTACATTCTGCCAAAATGACCATATACTTACAAACCACAAATGGTGTACTGCAAGGATTCAGCACTTAAAGAAAAAAGTTGATGTAATTGTTTTGTGGTAGCTGAATAACTAGCCCATGTCTCCATGCTAACCTCTTTGGGGACATATTTTTATTTGTTTTGCTGATGAAAACCAACCAGAAAATTCTTTGACTGTTTACATATCAAACAGATGAATCAGATAATCTTTCCATTTTTGGTTAAGTTTTTGCCTCTTCATCAAGCTCCTGTAGATGTTTTCTAAGAGCGGAGAAACTGAACCCTGTAATGCAATATCAATGAATTGTGGCAGCAAGTATGAGCATTTAATATCCAGCAAATTATTATTCATAACTGAATAAGATAACGAAGGGGTAAATTTGTAATACGTAAAATTACAAAATTCCTTAGGAAAGGACGGCAGTTCTACTGGAAAACATGTCTCCCATCTCAGTATATTTATAGTTTTTAAGGGTATATTAATGCACTCTCAACCTCAGTAGGTTCAATGTCTGTCATCCCAGGAAACAAGATGCTGAAGTCCAGTGCTCCCTCTAAGCTGTGGAGTCTTGTGAGCAAAAATTCTACTTTGTGAGCTACTGGCATTAACGTTGTGAGTGAGCGATTTGGCTACTGCATGAATTAGTTTGCTCTGGAGCCATCCTTCCTGAGCTATGACAAAAACGTGTAAGCCAGAGGCTAAACAACTGTGAGCTAGTTTACACTAACTCAGCTTAGAGGGAACACTGCTGAAGTCTTAAATTAAGTTTGAGTCCAATGGCCTTTAAGACCAACAAAGTTTTATTTTGGGTATAAGCTTTAATGTGCATGCACACTTCTTCAGATAAAATGAAACAGAGTTCACTAACCATTACATATAGGTAGCAGGTGAGGATGTTGCCAGGAACCGCAAATTAGAGCTAAAACTGGATTAAGGCAATTGGTAAGACCTACAAATAGCAGCAGACTGAACCCAGCCATTCAGCCCCCCCTCCCCAAGCCAGGCATATTTGACTAATCGGGAAGGGCAAGGGTTATACGTACAAGTTTTAGGTCTCAAATATCCAAAGATCCTGTCCATATCCTTGAAAAATATCCTAAACAAGTGGACAAGTTGGCATCCAGGCTTGAACAATAGACATTTTCTAGCATCTCTCGCATTTAGCTCGGGTGTATCAATGAATGAGCACTAGAGAAATTAAGCAATGTGCATATATGAGTGAATTTTACACTTCTTGCCTTGGCAGCCCTCTTGATTCTCAACAAGCACTATGCTCATGTCCATTATAACAGTATAGCATCATAGAATCACAGAGTTGGAAGGGGCCATATAGGCCATCTAGTCCAACCCCCTGCTCCGTGCAGGATCAACCTAGAGCATCCCTGACAAGTGTTTGTCCAGCCGCTGCTGAAAGACCGCCAGTGAGTGGGAACTCACCACCTCCCTAGCCAGCTGATTCCACTGTTGAACAATTCTTACTGTAAAAAAAGGGGTTTTTTTCCTAATATCCACCTTCCCGCCGTTAATTTAAACCCATTATTGCAAGTCCTGTACTCTGCTGCCAACAGGAACAGCTCCCTGCCCTCCTCTTGACAGCCCTTTAAATACTTCAAGAGAGCAACAATTTCCCCCCTCAACCTCCTCTTCTCAACATTTCCAAGTCCCTCAGCCTGTCCTCATAGGGCTGGTCTCCAGGTCTGGAATCATCCTTGTCACTCTCCTCTGTACCCTTTCCATTCTGTCCATATCCTTTTTGAAGTGAGGCCTCCAAAGCTGCACACAATACTCCAGGTGCGGCCTGACCAATGAAATGTTCAGCGGGGCTATGATATCTTGTGATTTGGATGTTATGCCTCTGTTGATACATCCCCAAGATCGCATTAGCCTTTTGTGCCACTGCATCACACTGGCTGCTCATATTTATTTATTTATTTATTTATATTTAAATTTATACCCCGCCCTACCCCGACTTACGGTCCACCCGTACCCCAAGATCTTGTTCACACACACTGCTACCCAGAAGTGTATTCCCCCACCCAGTATGCGTGTTCCTCATTTTTGTTACTCAGATGTAGAACTCGGCACGTATCCTTGTTAAATTGCATCTTGTTCACATCTGCCCACAGATTTCATTGAATTCTGTCTATCTTCTGGTGTGTTTGCGGCTTCTCCCAATTTGGTGTCATCTGCCAATTTAATGAGTAGCCCCTCCACACCCTCCTCCAGATCATTTATAAAAATATTGAAAAGTACTGGGCCCAGAACTGAGCCCTGTGGCACCCACTGGATACCTCCCTTAATTCAGATGAAATGTCATTGACAACTACTCTTTGGGTGCGGTTCGCCAACCAGTTTCCTATTTACTGAACTATCATAGAGTCCTCTAGTTTACCCATCAGAATATCATGGGGATTGGGGAACCCTGTCAAAACCTTTACTGAAATTCTGGTAAACAACATCAGCAGCATTCCCTTGATCCAGTAAGCTTGTCACTCGATCAAAGAAGAAAATGAGGTTGGTCTGGCAGGACCTGTTGGGGACAAATCTGTACTGACTTCCTCGGATCACCACGTTGTCCTTCAGATGCTTGCAGATTGATCTCTTTAAAATCTTCTCCAGTGTCTTCCCTGGGTCAGTTTGCTAGTAGTAGTTCCTGGGACTGAGGTTAGTTTACTAGTAGTTTGCTAGTAGGAGGGTCTGATGGAGAGTGGAACATCCAACATCACAAGTCCCCCTCGACATCACAGGATCCCCTCCCCCCAAATGGTGGTGCACACTGGGAAACTGCTGATGTGTATGCATAGCAGAAAAAGAAGTCAGTAATGAAGGATTCAGAGAAACCAGTAATTATATCCTTAGGAATATAAGTCTAAGGAATTATTTTTGTCTTAAATATGAGACAAAATATTTTTACTGATCTATTTGGCCCTCGTTTCCCTAGCACCATCACTTTTTACAGACAGTCTTAATCTTGTAACAGGAGGGATTAGCCTGCTGGTATTGCAAAATGTTTGAGAAACTGGATGTTTACTTGTGAAGGAATTTCCTCCCCGATTTAATTTTCCATTTTTAGCTGTCTGTAAGGGTAATTGTCTTTCAAGCTTTTTTGTCAAAGTGTGGGAGTTAAAGGCTCTGTTCAGATCATTTGAAGTAATTAAGAACCAAAATAACTGACTAGCCCAGCCCTGGAAGGAAGTGTGTGCTTGTAAGAGATACTGACAGAGACTGCTGATGCTCCCCCCCCCTTCAAAAAAGGTCAACTCGTCTGCAAATGTAAGTCTACTGTTATTCAACAGGCTCTTCATTTTTGTCGTCCAGCTGAAATGCAGGCTATGATGTAATACCCACCCTGTTTTCCAAACACAAATATTTCAAAGCAAATGGCAATCCAGAACGATTTCCAAGTCATATATTTTGGCAGTTTAAAAACTTCCAACTTCCGTAGCTACAGTGGGGCATTTTGAGGCCTGTCCCCCCTGACTTCCTGCCAAGCCCCCCCAACTTCCATCCAGTCCCCAGGCCCCCATCTCTCTGGGCCGCCCGGAGGACTCCTGACTCTCTGGGCCACCTGGAGGGCTCTCCACCACTGACCCTTCCCCAAGCACGACTTGCCTCCCCACTTAGGCAGGCAGAGTGCGAATGCTGCAAAAGTGAGTTTTTAAATTTTTATATTTTTTATTTTGTGACATCAGTGCCCCCTGACTTATTTAAAAGCCGCCTGAATTACAAAATCCTGGCTATGGGCCTGGGGGGGGGGCAGGAAGGAAGTTCTTAGCCAGACGTGTATGTTAGATTTTAGTAGACAGACTTTAAGGAACTCAGAGACATGACGAGAGTCCCTCTATGGGCAAGAATGCTGGAAGGGAAAGGAGCAAGTAAAGGGTGGGCTCTCCTAAAAAAAAAGAGCTCTTGCAAGCTCCAACCATCACTATTCCAGCAAGCTTGAAATGTGATACAGCATCCAAGAAGCCAATGTGGAGGAACAGAGAACTCCACGATAAGTTAAGAAAGAAAAAGGAAATGTTAAAGAAATGGAGGGAAGGACATATCTCTAGAGAAGAATATCTCTGTTGCTACACATTGTAGGTCAGCCAAAAGAGAGGCCAAAGCTCAGCATGACCTGAGAATGACCAGGAAGGCTTGCTGCAAGAAGAAAAGCTTCTTCAGATATGTGAGGAGCAAACTCGAGAGAAGATAGGATAGGCCCACTGTCGGGTGACAGTGGAGAAACTCTGACAGAGGACAGGGGGGAAGCAGGAAGGCTCAATGACTATTTTGTATCAGTTTTTTTTCCTGTGGAAGAGAACAGGCCCATCTAGAGATGGTAGTAGGCAAGGCATGGCCCCTGGACTGCTATTTAACATGGACAGAGAGCTTGTTGAGAGTTACCTGGTTGCAATGGATGACTACAAGTCCCACAGGCCGGATGGTGTACACCCAAGAGTGTTTAAAGAACTTTGTAGAAAGCTTGCGGAACCTTTGTTCCTCATCTTGAAGCCCTCTCAGAGTACAGGAGATGTGCCACAAGACTGGAAGAGGGTGAATTTTATCCCAATCTTCAAAAAAGGGAGGAAGGATGACCCAGGAAACTACAGGCCAGTCAGTCTGAACTCTGTCCCAGAGAAGATATTGGAGCAGACAATCTGTGAGAGTCTGAAGGACAACTTGGGGGTCCAGAGAAGTCAGCGTGGATTTGTCACCAACAGGTCCTGCCAGACCAAC